AGAACAGTACACGTATTGTTTAGAAGAACTCTATATGCAACAACACGTGACTTTATATCATTCTTCCACTGTCCACATTCTCGTAGTAGCCAACGATAAGCTCTAGACTCAACATCCGGTCTTACCGTGACTTGCACAAGTGTCGTCATCAGCAACTTCCATTCAGGGGTGTCCAGAACGTATGAATTCTTGCACAGAAACAAGAAACTGCGAAAATTCTCCTTTGGTGTCAGTGCAAAAATTTTAACATGTTTTATACAATCTGTAAATTACAATATCTGATTCTATATTCTTTAGAGAAAAAAACAGCGTTTATTTCGTTCGTTTATCACAGAAATTGCAGAAATAGGAGCAAATTTAGTAAGTGACTACAGCTTTTACGGATTTCTAAGAGCGGCCCTTTAAAGAATTCCGTATGGCTGCCACAACTGGAATTTAAAGGGCCGTAGGATAATCGTTAAAGCACTGTGTACCTTAAAATGCCCCCTTATATTTATATTGTACAGAATCTAAAATAAAATAAAACATTGTGACCCTATGCAGTCTGGTAGAAACTGATGGCCTTCTGATGGAAGATAAAGTCAGCAAGTTCCTTCAAAATGTCTGTTCCCTTCTGTCAGACTGCATGTCACAGAAGACAGCAGTCTTCACATTCTCTGCTGTGAAAACCTCAGAAAATTACAAGGTCCACAAGTAAACTGTATGAAGTCATGATAGCTCAGTTGCTATGGCAACAGGCCAAGGAGTAGGGATTTGATTACCAGCATGGGCGAGAGATTTTTATCTTTTCTGTGATGCTGAGACAAACACTGATCTCCACTGAGCCTCTTGTCCCTTGGGTACTGGAGTCTCTATCTTCGGGATTAAAGTGGAAGGGGCATGAAGCTTTGTCAAGTGCTAAGGTTAAGGATGCATGGAGTTACATCTTCACTTCCCCATATGGCTTCACGGTGAGGTGCTTAAGTAATTAAACACAGGGAAAATGTTGCTGTTATCTTTACAAGTAAATTGTATAGTTGATCCACAGGCATCAGTTCAAGTTCAGATCAATACATGAAGAATGAAATACTTCTGGATGGGAATAGTGATTGCTTATGGAAGATCATTCTGTGGTATGTCACATATCAGAATTGTTTACTGACAGGAATATTTTTCTGACACTTCTCTAAGCTTTTTTTTATTATTTCTGAACAGGTTACCTGACACGGCTGCAGCTGCAGACAATGGCTCAGCCTCTTTGTGACACTTCATTCAGAAAGTCTGACTCAGGCTCATTCTACACTGCCTGGTCATCCATGGCAGGACTTGTTAAACGAGGTCTTGTGCTACGAAATGGTTCGCCTGCCAAGTAAGTATACAGGATGTCCCAGGAAGAAAGATCAATATTTTGGGAGGTCATAGTATCGGTCATTCTAAGCAATAATGTGTGTTTGAACATGTATGCTGTTCTGAACAGTCTGAGATGCTGTGACCTCCCAGAATATTGACCTTTCTTCCTGGGACACTGTGTGTTTGTTCCAACTGCAAGCAGTGTATTACTATCTCCATGGTGTTGAGTCTGCAAAAGCTGTTGGTAATAATATGGCCCAGAAGATTTCCTTGTGTTTCTTTGTTTAATTAGTTAAATTTTCAGTTGTTCCAATTATATAGCATCAAATGGAAAAATGATCAGTAATTAGTGAACTGGAAAGGCTGTGTTGGGAAGCTGTCATGGCCTTGTTTGAAGCATTGTCTTACCTTTGGGGGTGACAGAGAAAATGAAGAAGACTTTCAGAATAGCTGGTCTCTGGCCGAGATTTTAACCCAGAACCTCTTGAATACAAATCAGTCCTATTTAGTCACCAGCTGCATTCAGTTCAGTGCTGTTTTGAAAGACAAAATTCATTGTTGACTTCACAGATCCTGCCATTGGACGCTGTCCGGTGTCAGTCAAGTTCATATTACATTTTTACAGCATGTATCGTCTGTGTTCCACTTAATTGTATCAAGTAACTATTCTTTGATCTCTGTTCGCAGAGAAGATGATGTATGTCGAATTTAATTAGGTGATTGATGGCAGATCGCACCTTGCTTATATTTAAAGAAAAGGAATGTGTAAAATTATGCTGAAACTGAATTTACAAATTTTATGAAGAATTCAGGGGGACTTCTGAAGGCTGAGCAACAAGTTGACTCTTGCGTGTTGTCTTGCAGATTCAGCTTATCAGATGCTGGTGCAGCTATGGCTCAACAGCTACGTGACGGGAGCGATGCATGTGTGTCCAAACATCTTGCTGCCCCAGAGATCATTTCAATAGATACATCAGATGATGACAGTCCAATTTCTGAAACTCAAGATGGCACTGTTGCTGGTAATGGAGACGTAGCAACGACACTCATGTGCGATAACAAGCAGTGCCTGACTGTCAGTGCTCCCATACCCATGAAGAGAAAAGCCACTGCTGCCAACATGAGAGACTATGAGAACAGCCATCTGAGTTCAGTGAGCACATTTACCTGATTTTCAACAGGTTGATTCAGCATGCTGGTGGAGTGGTTAGCACCCACGATTTTTATTTGGGAGGTCTTGGATTCAAATCTTTGTCTGGAGACTTTCAGTATGGTTGTTAAAAATTAGCAGTTTTACATCCATATTACCTGCTCTTTGAAAATTTCAGATGCCGCTACAGGTGAACTTGTCAGATCCACAGAATGGTCACCAAATTCTCTACATTTACTCATACATATGTTAGATTGCCATGTTGATAATAGCTTGAATTGTTAGTGTATGCAAAGCAAAGAGAATGATTTAGTCACTGGAGTTACTCCAACAGGGAACTGAAAATATGTGGCCTCTCNNNNAAATTGAAATTCTGGGGGGGGGGGAAAGAATTTTGAATAAGATACCTATGTTTAAAATTCAAAGTGAAGAATATTTTTCAATGTAATGGGGCAACCAAACTAAACAGATCCTTTAATACACATTTTACATGCATTTCATTCAAAATCTCTCAGCACTTTATTTTTTAGCATTTTATTAAATACATAATTTTAACTGTATTTAATAAGTACCAACTTATTACAACATAATATAGTTTCAAGGACCCAACAAGCTTCAACCCTTCAAGGGCCACCAGGAGTGCACTTAAACTTTATTTTTATTAATTGTGAAATGTATACACTGAGGGAGAAATACTGTGAAAACTTTAAGTGACTTCCCTTAAGCATTAATCTGCCCCTCATTGCCCAGGCATAGTGCATGCATATACTTAAGAAGTGTAATATCTTGAAAAGTTATGTTCATTGTAATAATCATCTGTTTCTTTCTCCATTGTTTCTTTTCTATCCCTTGTCCATCATGTCATCATCCTTACAAACCTGCAACTTTTTCATTCCTTACCTTCATCTCATTCCTTCTTTTTCCCCATCCTGCTCTCCTCTTGCATTTACATTTTCATGTTTTGTCTTGGCTAAGTTCTTCCTTGTCATGCCATTAGAAGAAAGAGGGTGGGCTTGCTTTTATATCAGGTACCTAAAATCTCTGCATTGAGGTCCTCTATCCTCATGTCATATTCAGTCAAATTAGGTGCAGCAGCTCAGAAGTGTGTAAAATACCAGCAGACAAACTTTTTTTTGTGTATCTACATAATATGTTGTAATTGGATGGTATTTATTAACTACAGTGATGTGCAAACTAATGTAAGATGATGAAACTTTTTGCACCACCCAGTATGTCACACACAGCGTTGTATGTCTTTTCCCACCTTTTGATATCAACTTAAAATTTGGGTGGCTCTAGCGTGTTGCACTTCTCTGTCTGTAGTGTGATAGTTTGTATTGCTGTGTTTCAGGTGCAATCAGAAAAGACTTCTCACAGAAAGAAGTGCTCACCACAAGAGCAAGAAACTGCAGATAATACACTCATCCTGGAACCTGGCTCATTTGATGTGATCCTCCTTGTAGACAAAAATGAAACAGCTGGGTGAGTGTGGCCACCTTAGCTGTGATGTATCGGAGTGACATGAAGACTAAATTCATTCTTGAATAGTTCATCAGTTGACCCATGTAACAGCATACAGGAAAAACACACACTTCTGTGGGAAATTTTCACAATGGTTTCAGTTCTTACAAGCAGGTCATCATCAGATTTTTGTTCATAAATTTTTGGAAGAGACACATGTCAATTTTGGAATGAAATACTGTGAGGGAAATTCAAACAGTAAAAACAATTTATCTGGACTCTTTTTATTAAATCTATGAAAGGTCAAGGTAACAACATATTTTGATGTAATACCTCTGCTGCCTCAGCCACTTGCTGCATTGGTCAATCAGCTTCTTGATGCCCTTAGGGAAGGACAGATCCCGTGGGTCTCGAGGCCAGGGAAGCACTGCCTCTGACATCTTGAAAACTGGCAACCATCTAATGATTTGTGGTAGTCCAGATAAGGTGATAGTCACATGGCACAAAGTTCAGACTATACAGTGAATTAGGGAGAAGCTCAAATTTAAGCTTATGAACCATTTCAACCAAAATATCAAATTGCAGCATGTTGCTCATCAGTGGTGCAATTTACAAGCATAGGTGAGACGTTTAGACTACAGCTGTAGAAAATTCAGTAAGCATCCTGAGAACCTGTGTCATGTTTAAAGTTGTCTTGATATGGAGTGTACTGCATGACACTGGAAGCACACTCATTATTTAGCAGACCCCACACATCAGAAGCTTACTGTCATTTTGTACGTGGGGCTTTGTATTCTCGTATACAGGTGCCGATGTTTTGGAGGAACCTGAAGATAGTGGCAGCAGGCTCTGCTGAAATGTTGGCACCTACGTGCTAGGCCAGTCATTTTCACCCTTTTGTAACGTGCATCTGACTGGTAATTTTATCAAGAAACTGTACTCCCACCATAGAAAAACAAAGATTCTCACTTTCAAACTGTTTTTACAATTCTGTACATGTTATTTTTATATTAATCATTAATGGAAGGTCCAATCTTCAAGACCTCATGCCCCACCCAGCTGACCATTGTGTTCTGCCAATGAGACAAGTCTGACCACCTGAGAAACCCTGTGTTAAATAAACTATGTTGCATCATGTGCCAGAACATTATGTACTGCCTATTCACTGCAGTGCAGTGAAATCCCCATTTAAGGTTTCCCTGAGCAGCAGTGGATTTGAACTGTAAACTGAGGAAAATCTCAGATGAAGGAAAATTAATACTGAGATTCCTGACTTGAGATCACTGAAATTGAACATAAAATTATGAAAAATCAGAAACTGACTGATGTTAGCTGTGCATCAGAATGCCAGGCATATATTTGCAGGAGTGTTTCCTCCATACAGAGGGTCTGAGCCGAGACGTCTGCTTGAGGATGTGGCTGTCTCAGAACTGTCAGCTCTGGGTACGTTGTTCGAGCTGAGACACCTCAAGGTGGCAGATTTCACATGGGTATGTCGTGATCGAGTGACAGGCCAAGAGCTGGTTCTGCCATACATAGTGGAGCGCAAGAGAATGGATGACCTTGCCAGTAGCATCCGAGATGGAAGATTCCATGAACAAAAGGTGAAGCAGATGTCTTCAGTGACATGCCACTGGTGCAATATTAGTTTCTGCTCATGTTATATACCAGAATAACATAGAGGCACACACTGTCTGAGGAAGTACACTGTAGCACTCTCCAAGCACTTCTGAAATATTGATCTTATGGCTGTTTCCATGGTGTAGGGTGCTCAGCCACATCCAATTTAGTGGGCCCTCTTTTGCTTTCAGGCTGTCTGGATTTAACCAAAAATACTTTTAATTTTACAAGGACTGTGTCATAGTTCAGGTGGTTACACCCTTACTTCATCAGTTCAAAATATTTTGCACATCTGTCAGAAGCATTCAGGGATGGATTAAAATGTTTTGCTGAAAACTTTATTTTAAATACTAAAGATATTTCCATTGTGATACAAACCAAATTAATGGTCTTCCTGCTGAATTTGTATTGCACGTTTCATTAGTTGCAATATAAATCTGCAGATTGTAGCTTAGTGCATTAGGAACTAATGTTGTGCGGTGCATAGTTTCGCATGAAGCAGAGTGGGCTGCAGAACCTGATTTACCTCGTGGAGAGTCATGGAGATAACATGCACACATCCCTGCCACTAGACACGCTGAACCAGGCAACCATCAACACACAAGTGGTGGACAGGTTCACCGTCAAGACAACTTCCAGCCATCGTGACTCCATGCGTTACCTGTCCATCATGACACGACTGCTGAGTTCCACATACTGTAACAAGACCATTGTCAGCTGCCATCATGACCGTCTGCCACGCTGCCATATCAGGGATGATCTTGTGTCTCTCATGACATTCTCAGAATTCAACATGGCCTCGAGCAAAACGAAGGTACTCCACACTACCTGCTTGCTGATTAAATGTTTAATTAGGATGTAATTAAGAGGAATTCAGATTCGTGAAATAGTTCCTAAAATTCAGGTAGAAATCGTGTTATCTGATTGTATGCAATGGCTGGCTTTGATAGTATTGGTGTCGAATCTTCAGGTTTTGCTACCAAAGAGTTTGCTAATTATTAAGATGGATCTTAGGGAAAAAATTTAGTGTCATTCTCCCCTTTGTTGCTGTGCTTTGAGGCTTCATTGCCTGTTACTTTTTATTTGTATACGCAGGCCCTCAAAGTGCAGGACGTGTTCATAAAGCAGCTCCTTCAGCTTCATGGTCTTTCAGCTGAGAAGGCACAAGCAATAGTAGAGCGTTACCCAACACCTCGAGTACTCATGGCTGCATTCCAGGCTGAAGGGTCAGCAGGGGAGAAACTGCTTGCCAACATCCGCTATGGCTCCCTGAATCGTCTTATAGGACCAGTTATAAGCAGGACCATCCACAAGTTCTATACCAACCACCTTCTCTCATAACATTGTTACCAGTTGTCACCAGTATGAAGTGCAGGGGAGAAGCAACTGGAGAGACATGGAACACATATATACATGATTTGCATGATCATGTATCCGAGATTTATATTTCTAGCCTTAATAATCCAAATACATTGGAGTACCCATTAAATGTTCATTGGTTTAAGGTTTTCTATCATGTAACTTTCAGTGTCAGTGATCAAGAGCCAGTAATCTCAAGTTGATCTATTGGTATTCAAATCTCTCAAATTAAGGACTGCCACAATTTTGTCTTACATAACATTTTTCAGTGACAAATCTATTATGTTAGTTCAGGTCTGTGTATAGTCAAAATTCTGTTTCTTTGACTTGTATTCACCAGTGATCAGCATTTCCCATATAATCAAAGGAGGCCATTTTTAAGGCTGGGGCATCCAGTGGTAGAGTGATCATGAGTATGATTGGCCGAGTGAACCTACAGTTTAACAAGGGTTTTGAACGTCAGAGATGCATGATATTCTTCACATCTGAAAAGTTCCGCCTTTTGCGGAGGTAAGAGTGTCAATCTGTAAGCAGAAAAGTGTGTACATGGGCCTGACCAAGACCTGAACTCATAACCCTTTTAATGAGAGTCTTAAGAAAAGCAAGGACCATCCTCTATTTTACATTCTAATTATCATACTTGCACCATTCTTCTTATTAATGGCAAGGCCAAATTTCATAAACTAGTTGTCAGCTTTTGTTTATAGTTTGTTTTCATTGAATTCGTGATGGCTAGTGGAGGGATAAATGAAATGTATGAACAAGGATGTTTTAAATCCTGAAACAATCCATTATGTACTTTTGCAGTTTATTAATTCTGAAAGCAGTTCTATCTACGAGCCTTTATTTGTCATTTCAAGTAAATGGTACCATTACTTAAGCATCTGATTTCTCTTTCACTGTGTTTTTGCCTTAAATCTATACACTTGTAATTAGGCTAAGATAATTTTTTGTGTGAAGTAGTGTGGTATAATTAAAAATATGTTTATATGCTCTTTATGTAATTATGGATATTCTATTCATACTATTGAAGCAATTCAATTTTTACAGAGTTTCACATTCTTAGAGGTGAGACTGTATACAACCTGCCTGTGCACTGGATTTCATGCACAAATCTGTTTTTATTCTCCTAGTTTCCTCCCTGGTAAATTTTCCTTTACCTGATTTTAAAAATGAAGTATGGCTTTTACATTACATAAAAGTACAAGTTGCAAAGGGCCAGATTTCATGTACAGGTTTGTATTATAGGCACGTATTCCCAAATTTTGCAGTATCAAACATGGTATTGATTCTCTGATGTATAATGTGTATGTAGTCAGTTATTGGAGAGGGTGGGTTTCACCATGCACCGCGACCAGTTTGATCTATTATGCTTCCCCCTATGATATTCTACCAGTGTCTATACCCTACTGCTACTGGTGCTTACCATCAGTCCCGACCAATGAAATGTTAGGCTGTATTGGAGGTATGGTGGGGAATTCATTTTTCTTCCCAGATTTAATGCATATTAGGATATACCTTTTCATCTTTGCACAACATTAACAGTTTCTTGGCTTGGAAGAGTATCGATTTTTCGATTCTTATATATTGCACATGGTAACATTTTTGTTGTATTAGCTTGCTTAAAACGTTGGTGATCCCTGATATTGGCTGTATAAAGCTATCTGGGTCGGTGCTGTAAGGCGAATTGCATTCGAAATCGTATTCTGTTGACTGCATGTGATGTAATTTTTTTGTATTATAAAGGGGTTCTTTACTGCGTGGGTTTATGACTAACAGTAACACCTCATATAGTTACAGTTACTTTTTGCAATATTTGTTGTAACATAACCTCAACTACAGCTTGGACTTACTCATGTTCATTTAGTCTTTATGTACAATAGTACAATATCCGTTTCTACAATGAGGTAAGCTTTATACTTTTTCAACTGAATAATTCGCATTACTGACAAGGTAACATCGAAAATTGGCAACCAATTGATAGTAAAATTTCAATACGTTCTCGGTGTACCAACATATGAAATCTTAGAAAATGAATGGGTCTTGTGCGCGTTAGATCCATTATGTGTTGGAATAATTGCCCTTATAGTTTTATATACTCATATCACAAGTATTAATCTCCGAGTATTGTTAAATCGTAGCGTTAGCTATTATAATTAAGTCCGTGTTCTAATGCATTGGTTCGTCGATCAATATCGCATACTTGTGGCAGCGCTGTACGCAGGAAGAATAAACGAGTATGAAAATATGCATAATCTAGAAGCAAATTTTAGTCTAGCGACATGTTAAGTGTCAAACAAGGATCCAAAATTTTGATATTGTACAGAAATGGAGATAATGAGCTGTTTATTGCTTAACGCATGGCGACGATGGAAGATTTAATAACTGGAAGCCATCTGGAAAATGACACACGGAAGTAATGTTTAATTTTATTACATAAATATGTTTATTTTAACCCCAATCTTAGATGCAGCTATAGATCTCTCGATGCATTCAAATTATTAAGGACATTCCTCGAAATGTGCTGTGTTACATCTTTCAGTTATAGTTAGAAATATTTTCTATATATGGAAGAATTATTATAAATACCAGTAATCCCATATTTAACTGTCTTGTGCGCTTAAGTCCCAAATGTCGATCAATTTTTGTGCTGTTATAGACAGGATATTGAAAGAAGAAAGCAGTCTTCTGGGATTTGGCACCGTGTATATGTGGTTATCTTACATAGGATATTGAAAGGTTTGTATTCTTACAGTTCCAGCCCTGTGCCTTATAGAATTATGAAGTGTGTAAACAGCTGGAAATTAGCCCAGAGCGGTTGATTTAAGTTACGATTCATGATTCATATCAAGATCAGTCATAGCTTTCGATTGTGTTAATCATGATATCTTACTATCGAAATTAAATTTCTATGGAATAACTGGCANTGAAAGGGCAGTTGTAAAGTAAATCTGACTTTCTTAAGATTCACATGTTTTTAAGTTAGATTCCTTCAGATTTAACTCTTACATGCTGTTTCCATATGTAGATGGTGTTTGTGCTGCATAAGGTTACTGTAGTTACCATGTTAAAATTACTGTTGTGGCTCCTTTATAAATGTTGTGCTTGCTGATGCATAGGATTTTGATGGCGTTTTGATGAATGTGTTGAAACTGGAGTCAGGTATTTTTGGATTTCCTACTCTTCACATGTAGGTAAAAATTCATTTTGCTTATATCGCTTTTAGGACAGAAAGCGTCTTGCATGCTGAAATTGCACAATATGAAGAAGCTGAGAAGTTTTGTATCCAGCTGATCAGTGAGGTAAGAACATTATGGTTTTGGTTAATTGTTCATAATTTGAGCTGGTGGGATAACAGTTTATCAAATCTAGCATTGCTCCTGGGATGACAGCCGGATTTTAACTTGAGATAACAGTATTAATAATGAACTAATTTAGTACTGGAAGTGTGTGCAACTCTCAGCCTGTTGGACCTCATGCATGCATTATTGCAGTGATGCAAGGAAGAGGTGGTAGAGATTAAAGAATGTGTGTTGGCATGACTGTGAGTGATACATTGGAAGGAAGTGGCATTTGCTTGACTTGGTCAAGGAAAGCCACAGAGGATGTTAGTCAGTGGGCCTGTCTCTATTTGAACTAGGTGCCTTGTAAGCAGGTTGCTCTGTGCTACCATGAGGAGAACTGGAACATGCAGTTCTCACAAATTATCATTTCCTATCTTTCAGTTTCTTCAGAGTTATGGCCTGGTCTCCACACTTCAGGCATTCACCAAAGAGTGCACCGAGTTGGGATATGTTGTACCGCTTACCACAGAGAAGGACCGCATCAAGAAAGAGAGCCTGTTAAAAATACTGGAGCATTTTGCTCATAGAAATCTGAACAATTTCTTTGATGTAAGAATTTATGGTTTGCAGTGTGTCTATTTTGTTCTTATTTTGATTTTTAATGGACCAGGATGTGGTCCAGTGGTGTGCTCTCATGAACGCGGTAGTGAACTGGTTTGCATCAAGGCATGGAACATCTTGATCACCTCAGTAAAAGTTAGTCTTCTCAAGAAAGGATACCTGTAAAATTAGTTACACCATTGAAAATAAACACAAAACAGAGTTTTGTTTCGACAGGAAGCATATTAATTTGATGGGTCTGTGCAGTGTAATGCCTCTACTGTTGTTCAAGTAAATGTTTAGTTCTCTTTGTTCCATTTGTTTATTGTTTGTTTAATAATGCTGTTAGTAACTCAGACTGTGTAGCATCCAGTTATTGGATTATTAATGAATGACGACTTGGACAGGATGTGGAAGGAAGTGTTTATGTCCTAATTTGAGGTACCATCTTGGCATTTTCCTGGAGGGACTGAGGAAAACCACATGAGAACTTTAGTCAGGATAACCAGTGTCCCAACCAAGATTCAAACGAGGCACTTCCGAATACAAGTCAGAAGCACTGCAACTTGTGCCAGCTTGCTTAATATGAAGTTCTGGACCTTAACTGTTAAGTTCTGTTGATAGTGATGTCTGCAGTAGTGTCATTAACTATTACCTTCAGACAAAAGGAATTTTGTATCTCCCAGAACTTATTTCTGGTGGCCACATTTTAATTCAGGGATAACTGTTAGTGTTGTAGTAGTAGTAGTAGTAGCAGCAGCATTATTATTATTATTTTAGCTGATAGTGGTATTAGTGTGTATGTTAGAGAAGTGGGGGGGCGATGGTATGGACAGGCTTGATCTGGCTCAGAATAAGGACCTGTGGAGGGCTCTTATGAACTGTCTCATTCCATGAAATGTTGGGAAACTCTTGAGTGGCTGAGCGACTGACGTTTTATCAAGAACAACTCAGCCCTGTGGTGTTAATAGTGAAGAAGCATAATGCTTGTCTAGCGGGGCCACGACTGAACACCACCTGACACCTGGCCAAGCCAATCTCGAAATGCTCTGGATACCATCTCATTCTTGTTTCCAGGCATGGCAGGTCCTTGTGCCGCCATCCATACAAGAGAAGCTGGAGTGTAAGAAGCTGACCTTCTACCTACACATTCACTTCGCTGTCTTGCCCCTGAGGAAGAGAATCAAGGCCGCCGTGCTTGACGGCAATGCGTCCATACAGTCAGGCGACACCAGTACAGGGCAGAGACGTGAGCAGGTGCTGGATCAGAGTGAACAGTTGCAGACTGAGGAGATGGAAGGAGAGTCAGAGACTGATGACACCCATGGGATGGAAGTGTTGAGGCACTTCCTGGATTCGAAGGGCACTGAGTTCAGTGCTGAACCTGAGTTCCTGCCGTACTATGCCCTCCCATTCGTCAGTGACCCTGTGTCTCATCCTTCATTCCAGGAGCTCTTCATGGTGTGTGCATCGTTAGTTTCTTTGTGATTTATCTAACCAAATATGGTCAGAAGTTTTATGTCAGCATTGAGTAGCATACAGTCCTCAGATGATGACCATGATGAAATCGAATGAATTATGGAAACATTTACAAGGGGGTACCCAAAAGAAACTGATCTTATTTTTTTTTAAACTTATTTATTCAAATTTTAAGCACAAACCTTCAATCCCCTTCAAAGTACTCTCCACTTACACTAATACACTTGT